TGTGGGTGTGGCTTGGATGGGCGTGGCTTTGTGGGCGTGGCTTTGACGGGTGTGGTTCTGTGGGCGTGGCTTGGATTTGGGTGAGGTTTTGTGGGCGTAGCTTGGATTGGGCGTGGTCAGGGCGTGGTTTGAACCCTGTGGGTGTGGTTTAAAGGGAAAGGGGCGTGGTTTTGAGTCTGTGGGCGTGGTTTAAATGCGGTGGGTGGGGTTTAAGTGTTGTGGGCGGGGTTTAACAGGGAAGGGGCGTGGTTTGAACCATGTGGGTGTGGTTTAATGGGAAAGGGGCGTGGTTTGGAGTCTGTGGGCGTGGTTTCTGTGCATGGGAGGTTCTTAGGAGGGCGTGACCACCTGTGGGCGTGGTTAACCACAAAAGGGGCGTGGTTTGGTGGGTGTGGGTGGGTTTTTTCCCCATGGGCGTGTCCCAGGAGGGCGTGGCCAGCTGTGGGCGTGGTTTGGAGGCTATGGGCGTGGTTTAAACCATGTGGGCGTGGTTTAACACAAAAGGGGCGGGGTTTTCTCTCTGTGGGCGGAGTTTTCCCCCCATGGGCGTGTCCCAGGAGGGCATGTCCCCCTGTGGGCGTGGTTTAACAGGAAAGGGGCGTGGTTTGAAGGCTGTGGGCGTGGTTTGAACCCGGTGGGCGGGGTTTGAAACCTGTGGGCGTGGTTTAAAACATGTGGGCGTGGTTTTCTGCACACGTGAGGTTCTTAGGAGGGCGTGGCCGCCTGTGGGCGTGGTTTAACACAAAAGGGGCGTGGTTTAACACAAAAGGGGCGGGGTTTTTTCCCTGTGGGTGGGGTTTCCCCCATGGGCGTGTCCTAGGAGGGCGTGGCCAGATGTGGGCGTGGTTTGAAGGCTGTGGGTGTGGTTAAAACCCTGTGGGCGTGGTTTAACACAAAAGGGGTGGGGTTTAAACCCTGTGGGCGGGGTTTTCTCTCTGTGGGCGGGGTTTTCCTGCCATGGGCGTGTCCCAGGAGGGCGTGTCCCCATGTGGGCGTGGTTTATCAGAAAAGGGGCGGGGTTAAAACTCTGTGGGCGGGGTTTAAATCCTGTGGGCGGGGTTTTCTCTCTGTGGGCGGGGTTTTTCCTTCATGGGCGTGTCCCAGGAGGGCGTGTCCCCTTGTGGGCGGGGTTTAACACAAAAGGGGCGGGGTTTTCTCCCTGTGGGCGTGGCTTTCTCCCTGTGGGCGGGATTTTTTCCCCCATGGGCGTGTCCCAGGAGGGCGTGTCCCCCCCGTGGGCGTGTCCCAATGTTGGCCCCGCCCCTTTCCCAGGCCGCCTGAACGTGAAGAACGAGGAGTTGGACGCGATGATCAAAGAGGCCTCGGGGCCAATCAACTTCACCGTGTTCCTCACCATGTTCGGCGAGAAGCTCAAGGGTGGGCGTGGC